CATCTTCTTCCAGGTCCAGAAACCAACAGCAAGAGCCAAATGGTCAGTGCGAGCAGGAAAATGGCCCAACAGCCAGTGGAGTGGCTTCTGCTGCATATGCTGCTCTGAAAAACTGGTTTTCAGAGATGATCAGCTAAATACCAAAACCTAACGCTAGTCTGAAAAGCTTTCACAAGCAGTAGTAGAAACTTTCACTAATTCACTGGTTTCCAATCATTATGCATTTTTCTATAATTTTAGTGTAGTTTAGTTGCATTGATGTTCTTATCACAAAAAACAAACAAAACAAAACAAAACAAAACAACAACAACAAAAAAAAAACCATATACCTTACACACACTTAAAAGCTACAAAGCTCATCATAATAGATGAAAAAGGCCACTACCTTCTGACACCTGGTAGGCAGCCTCATACATCTGAGATCCTCTACAGCATTAACATCACAAACTGCCAGGAGCATACCTTGCACAGAAGGTTTATAGCTGCCTGAAAATTAACGTGCCACTTGCAAACAGAAAAGGCATAAAAGTGTCTGATCTAATTCTGTGGTAAAGGGAACAGCTGGAGCAACTGAGGGCGAGGGGTGTGAAGGAAGAGCCAGCTGTGTCCTTCGCTGGGGCACTGCAGAGGAGGAAGGCTGAGGAACAGCTCAGGGCATCCCAGCCAGTGCTGCAGGTGCCATCAAGCACAAACCTGGCTGCAGACGATCTCTGTAATTGCAATGGCATGTCCTAGGTTACCACATGAAACATGGCTTGTGAGGCGATTAGGGTGAAGATTTTATTTTAATACATTTTCTATATTGTCAATCTCTTTCCGAGCCAATTATATCCATAGTAATTAGATTTCATTTTTTTGTCCTTTCCCCAGTGCAGCAGAACAGGTTGTCATTTCTAGTCTGACTTTGCTAATTCGGGGAGAAGAAACATTACAAGTTTTTCTTCCTCAATTCAGCTACCTGCTCCTCTTCAGTACTGCTCCTGTTGCTCCCAGTATGTATTTGTTGCCAAGCAGCAGAGAGCTAATTAATGCAATGTCATGTTTCCTTGTTTTCTTCACTTGCTCCTTCCCTGCTTTATGCACGCTGCTCCTCACTTCAGCTTTACAGGATGAAATCCCAGAAAAAGGGAAAGGAAGACTGGCAGCAAGAAGCAAGACACTGAAAGCACAGCCTTGCACTCAACCTATACAAATACCTCATTCCCTTAAAGAACTTGCTCTTGTGAGTAAATTACCCCTTACACTTTGGCCACGGACGAGGTACTAAAACCTCTTGCCAAGCAGCTGGCAGGCTTGTGCTGTGTTGCTGTGCCTAGCCAAACCAGGCAGCTGGAAGCTAAAGCAGGCAGCCTCTCAAGAGACACAGTCACTGCAGTTCTGGTGAAGCTCCTGTTGAGGGCAATTTAGAGAACTCAGTATTTGTGCTGCAGAACACGTTGGAAAAAAGGCTGCCAGATAATCTAACAACAGCTTCTGTCAATCAATTTGCTAGAATAAAAGAGAAGTCTTATTTTAAACTACCCACTATGAACCATTTAGACACACCACCTTCTCCCCATTTTGTCTTTCTTTGCTACCTCACAATAGTAATCTTCTTCAGAGTGGGAGAGAACAAACAGATTTTGTCTTCCAAGACACAGACTAGTTTTGTATCAGCAATTTATTTTTTCTTCCTTTTAATACAGCAATATATGTCCCTGGTGTTGTAAGAAAAACTCGCTGTCTTCTCAGTAGGCTCCAGTATATTCCTCTTTTTGAAATGGCAGAAGGACTTAGGAAGAAATATCCCTCTCCTTTCATTGTTTGAAAGCCCAGAGGATCCCACAACACAGAAGCTGACTGCACATTTTAAAATAACATCAAAGGAAGAGAAAGGGTTTAGAAGGTCAAAATAAGGCAGCCATAGCAATGCCAAGCACAGACTGGCTGCACTGCAGACTGAGTTCACCCAAGTATAGTAAAACAAGGCAAGATGTTTTCCAACTCCCACTGCCACCATACTTCACTGCCCAGAGGCTGTATTTTTCTGTGCTGTTTTCTATCCCAACACTTCTGCCAAATGCTATCAAGTTATGGTGAAATAGAGGCTTGATCTAAATTTCTGCTTATAAGACTGTTGCCTGAAGAGTCAACCCAAGCGCCCTTTATACCTTAGAAAAACGAGATAATGAAATTAATTGTGTCAGGAGCAGAAGGAATCCCCAGTATGCCTTCCAGCAGGAGAGCAACAGTTAACCTCTCATTTTCATAACTGCAGACATACCACCTTCCACTACAAGAGGAAGTGGAAAATAAGGCAGGTGTTACGAAATAAGGAACACCTCTCTGCATGCCCATCTTTGACCCAATTATCTTCTGTTTTAGCTCTGCCTTAACTGAGCAGCTCACTTACGGGGTTCCCTGCCCCACGGGATCGATGAAAGCAAGCAATTTCTAAATCTCTTATGTAACAGTGTCAGCTGGCATTTTCAAAGCCCAGAGTGGAAAGTCCAGCCACCTGGCTTCCATTAATTTTGATGAGGGATGGAAAGAGAAGCCCCCTAGTCGTTGTTGAAAAATATTCAACCTCAGAGAGCCAGCCAGGAATTCAAGTCCACTGATAAGGGCATGACACTAACAAATGCATTGCATGATACTTCTTGCACCCATGTGCCACTGAATCAGCTGAGATACTCTTTATGTTCAGGCAGCTCAGCTATCTCCATACAGATCCCTGTCTGGCAGGCAATGGGGAGGGCTGGGGAAGTGCAGCAGATCTGTCAGTTGCAGCAGACAAGAACATCTTGTACTTGAGCTGCTTGTTGAGTAGCTTTGAGAGGCAGACAAACCGGCAGACTAATTAGATTTTTTAACCACAGTATTCAAAAGTAAAATCCTCATAACATGCTATCAACTTACACATGCCTGTTTGTGATGTCAGATCATCCCCTTCAACCACATTTAAGCTTCAACAGAAATATCAGGGAAAGGGTTAATATTCGAATGAAAAATATTCCAATTTAAATTGAGCTTTGAAGAGATTTCTGCATTCCCCTTCTTTATTTCTTAGGGTATTGTGGTTAAAACCGAAAGATCTCTGCAGGCTGGAACTGAGACTAAGGAGACTGAACGAGTTCAATATATCCAGATTTGCTGAGCACTTACTGAAAAGATAACAGAGCAGTACGCAGTGACCTGAAGGGCACTTGACAGAAGGAAAACGAGAGAAAAACAAAGTGGCACATAAATAGGAATCAATGGTTGAAAAAAGGTGGTGAGGCTACAAAACATTCCACTCTGGAATTCTGCCTCAAAGGAAGAGATGTTCATCTCACATAATCCTCTAAATAACCCTGGAAAGGCCTCCCAGCTGCAACAGGAAGTATAAAATACACCTTTTATCACTTCTAGATTTCAAGATTTGTAAGAGTGGTGACTCATCTGATATGCCAGAGACCCAGGTTAAAGCAGCACCTATTAACAGATTTGTTCATCTTTGGTACTAATGGGAGTTTTGTATGCATGTGAAGAAAAGAATGAACAGGATTTTCTGAGTAAGCAGCAGTGACTCACACTAATAGCCATTACACAAGGACACTGAGAGTACTGTAACATCATACTCACAGGAAAGCTTATGTCGCGCAGAGAAAATAAGCCAAGCATCTTTAATGGCTACATTAAATCCTATGACATCTGGCTAAATATTTATGGATTTTTAAAGACATCTTAGTCTAGTCAGTCCCTTACACCTGAAGGAATGGTGGGTGACTGAGCTGAGAAGCCACTTGAAGGTTAAGAAAAAGGCAAAGAACGAAACCATGGAAGCTTCCATTTTTAATCTCTCTCCACTTGTTTTGAGAACTCTCTATGCAAGTTGTTCATATCAGTTCTGTGCTGGTCCATCACGTGATCTTGCAGCATTGCTGACACCACTGTTCAAACAACTCAGCTCTTCAATAACTTACAATTGTAGAATTGTAGAATGGCTTGGGTTGGAAGAGACCTTAAAGATCATCTATTTCCAACCCCCCCGCTGTGGGGATTGACCTTATTTGATTTCAGACTCTAAGCTTTTGCATAATTATTGAAACAACACAGCTATAAACACTGCCACATTTTTGAAGGGAGATAGTTTGCTCCCTTCCCAGTGATCTGCTCACCCCATGTCTCTGAACAAGTCATTTGTGCAGGACAAACACCTCCAAGTTGGCAGATGAGGAACAGCAGTTCATGCAGTCTTGGGCACAGTGTCAGAGCCACACTTCATCCAGATCTGAGCTGCCTCTGCACACGTGTGGCTTTGATAACCACAGGTGCACATCCCAACAGGGCTACCTTCTGCTGAGCATCAGGCAGCATAGAGTATCAGCATAACATTCCACTGAGACAAAAAAAAAAAGCATTGACAGCTCATTCTACTACAAGGGCACTTCTTCCTTTGTGTGTCTGGACAGAGAGGAGAGACAGGACATAGGGAAGCACAGTGCATAGCCCTGCTGCACCCATTCTAAGCAGCACTGCAGGTTCAGAAGGCAGCTCCTGGCCCTCGCTGCAGATCTACTCTGGGACACAGGTGTGTGAGCCAGTCCCATCCCCTGCACTGAGTTATGCAGACCATAAGGATCCGTTAACTACCAGATGCTATCACCAGCTATTAGTGAGAACAATCTAACAAGGGGAATTCCTGAATAAACATGACCTGTTTTAACAATATGCAAACCATGACCAAGCAATCATGCAATTATCCCCGAAATAAAAGTTAATGAGCTAAACAGTGACTTCTAGTATTGGGAAATACACATCTAGGAGTATGCTTACTTGCATGAATTGTAGTTGATCTTATTTGATAAGAATACAAATGTCCTGATTTGGTTTTAAAAATAAAATCAATTGTAAGTTTATTTAGAGAAATTTACCTGCCTGCCTGTTATACATCACTGAGCCTGTATTGATTGTTTGAGATGGAACTCATTCCAAACTGTATTGATTTAATTCATTAGCAAATTTTTAGCAGAACTTACTTGGTAGTTCTAGGCCATTAGTATGGAAGGCTTCGTTTAGAGACTGTAGGACTGCAGGGGGAGCGTTGGCAAGGGGCTAGAGCTTCTCCAGTGTAGAAGATTTATAGCCAACAATAATGTGAATTACCTGTTTTGGACAGAAGAGTCATTTTCCAAACAATGAATGAGGAAAAGCCAAGAGTGAAAAAAGCCTAGATATATTGATAGGGGAAAAGAAATCCAGTTGGTGAAGATAAGAGCAAAGTGAATAATTCATAAATAGTTCATCAGTCATTTTAAAAGACACTTAGGTTTGTAAAATTAAGTGCGTAAAGTAGCTCAGCAGCTTACAAAGCAACTCAAAGCCAACAGCCCTGGAGCTGACCTGTGGACCTGCCCAGCCCGGCACCCCGCAGCTCACTTCTGTGGCTTCAGCAGGGAAACAACTCAGTACTGCATCAGCTCCTGCTGGAGACAGCAGGTATGCCAAGTGCAGACGTCCTCAGCCACAGGACCACGTGAAGAGCCAGCAAATGTTTCTGCTGCAAATCATTACCTGACTCAGCCTGTGTGCCACAAGGAAACAAACCGCCATGTACCCAAACAACAGGCGCTCTTTGCATTGCAAACAATTCAAGCGCAGTCATTCTTTTTTCAAATTCTGGGTTTCAAGGCATATGTTCTGAAAGGCATCCCTCGATGTTGCCCCAACCAGAGACATTATTACTGGTAGCTGTGCAGTCAAAATTAAAACAATGTACTTGAGAAACATCTCCTGTAACTTCTCAGCCCCCCAATCACCTTCCCTGTAAAACAGAAATAGAATCTACTCGTTTTGTCTTACAAAATGGTTGCAGACTGATTTTTAAATTAACATTTCAGACCGATTTTTAAATTAATATTTCAACAGCACTTTCAAGGTATAAAGGGTTGCACAATGTTATGCAGTATCTTTGTAGCACAGGTAAATGCACGATACTCCAAACAAAGCTATTCCAAATAAAGAACGTTTCCCTTATGGCAGAGGATAGCATTCGTAAACTAAGTTGGTTCTTCAGCTGTGGTTCACATCATACCTGCTCATGTGCTTGAATAAACCAAAGACAAGCAAATAGACCGTGGCTGGTACAGCCAGAATGCAGCAAACAGTAAAAGATGAGAGAATCAATCCTATTATCCCCCAAGATGTTCGGCATACTGCAGGACACAAGCTAAACAGTTGCATAACACAGCTGGCATACTTCTCAAAACACTGCAAATTCCTTTCATCTTATGTAGAAAGCTCTGGGTTCAGGCTATGACTTACCTTGTATTCCTTTTCTAATACTTTCAATGGTTTAATTTAACATTGAATGCACAAGACATTATTTTAAGTCGAAGCGTTTTCTTGTTGATTATGCAATGTACCTCACAGTAAGCGTTGAAAGGTCTCCCTCTCTCAGAAGCCTTTTACAGTCCCAGCCAAAAAGCCCTGACTATAGGAGTTAATGGAGAGCGGTCCTTAACTCAGCACCAGACAAGACAGTAGCTCTTACAGCAGTTACCTGCAAAGGGCTGTTGGAAAACCTTCTGAACTGCTGCAAGCAGGTCAACCATACCATAGGATTAATCCACAGTGCTGTAATACCCCTAGAAATCTTTTCTCTACAAGAATTTCACAGCTGCTAACACAGTTACTAATGCTCAGAGGAGAGTCATTGCACATACCCCATAGCTGGGTTAGTATCACGGGTTTTACACATTTCTCATCAGTGCTCCTTGAAAAGCAGGTGACCGTGTCAGCTTGGGTTCTGGCTGGTTTCTTCCTGAAGTTCTCTATGGCTGCAGCATGTCTTTAATGACTGAATGTCTTAGACAGGCACATTACTCACTGTAGTATTTCAGAGGCTGTAGTAGCTTTGCGGGCAAAATCAAAAACCTACTAAAGTTTCAGTGCCAAGCTCAAAATAATTCTTTCTACGTAGGCAAATTGAAATTCTCAAAGGCATCTTTGAAATGTGATGTGTTGCCTAAGCTAAGAAAAATTATCAGAACATCCTGAAAAATAGGAAACCTAACTAGTGCCATCAAGGTGTATAGCAAAAGGATATTTTCCTTGTTTTTCACCTACAAAAGCAATAACATCTTAAGGCAAGGGTCTAAACATTATTCAGAGACTTTGAGAAAACACCCTAGGATACTTAAAACAGGTGCTCGCTGTTGGAAAAAAAAAATATGTCTTTCTCTAAATATCATATATGCATCTGAACCTTACCACAAAGAAAATGAGCCATTTTTTATGAGAAGTGAGAAAAATGAAATCTACCTGGGAATCAAAGTGCTTGACCACTTGACCACGTGACAAAATGACAAAGCTGCAAACTAGCATAAAATGGCAACCTTACTGGCTCCAGCTGTTTATTTCCAGCACATTTAAGAGCTAAGCCCCAGAAACATCAGCATGAAAACTCTCCACTTCAAAGAGACAGAAGAATTGATGCTGACAAAAGAGGGTGATGAAATACCAGATATCATCACCGTAACACCTTCATTCCCTGATAAATATGAAAACACAGCAGAAGAGGGTTCTGCAGGTAGGAAGCTATCACAAGTCTAACTTGTTCCTGGGAACAAGTGAAGCAGAACACCATAAAATGAAACTATTAACTGCCTCAGCAGGAAAAGCCGAGACAAAAGTTTGTACTGCAGAGGACTCGTGGTCAGATTTTGGAGCAGGAATCAGACGGTTTCACACAACTACACTTCACACATCAACTTGCACTCAGGTAGCAGATGCCACCTCCTATCCATAGTGCCCATGTCTCTCCAGTAAGCAAATACCTGGAAGTCCATGCTGCATCAAGAGCGCTGGCAGTAAGGAGGGCAATCACCTTGTCTGGCCCCAGGTCTGTCCTCTTGGTGAAGCCTCATTCCAGAGAGCAGTGTTTCCAGCAAGTTGCCCTTGCTTGGGAGGTGCAGCCCTGGCATACCTGGAAGGGAAGAGAGGGGCTGTGTCTGACAGAGAGGTAGCATAGAACATAGAAGTCAAGGAAACAAGTCCTTCCTCTCTCTGTTTAGAAGAGGAAAATCCTAGGAAACACAGTGACAGAAAAGTCATAGTAAAAATTTGAGGCTGTAGTGATTTCATGATAGCAAGTACATTTCCATAAGGTCTCTGGTCCCCCCAAATGGCTTCTGTCTTCCTCTGGGTAGCATGTCCTTCCCATTTAGAGGGTTCTCTTAAACGTAAGGACTCTTCTAGTAATTACTGCTACTGCAGGGCTGTGCACAGAGGAGAGGCATCGCCAGACTTCTTGAGACAGGCATTAGATACTTAACATACAAGGGCTCTCCAAAAGTAATGCCTCTTATTTTATTGTATCAGCCTATAACTTAAGAGGCAGATGTTGATGGTATGGCAGTAGAGGTTGAACCTTCCCACCTATATTCTGTTACGTTTTCTTGTGTGACAGACGGCAGCAGAAGGGCAGTCTGACAAAATGGTGTCTGACATGGAAGTGTGGATTAAGCAAAGGTGTGGAATTGAATTCCTCCACATGGAAAAAATGGCACCCGTTAACATTCACATACTGTTATTGTGCTATTTCTATGTGTTGTTATTTCCATGGAAATAAATAATTGGCATTACTTTCAGAGTGACCTATGTATAAACACATAGTTAGCGTATTTCTCTGTGTTTTAGCAAATAAGAGTTTATATATATATAATAGCATAATATTTACAGCACATACTACATATGATTGTAACTATAACATGAATAAGTTGTAGGACATTACAACAAAAGAGTCTAGAATGCACTGGTAAGCATAATCCAGAAAATAAAATTGATGTGAAAGGTTTTCACCAAACAACGTGAATTTATCTAACATGAAATAATCACTGAAATGTCTGGGTTTGGACATCTAGTTGCCATCCATTTTGCTAAGAAGCCCAGCTTTTCAAGAACTACTTTACCTACCGCGTCTTTCTATATAAACTACAGTGAAAACAGGAAATCCTGAGCTTAACATTTTGTGGCACTCAGAGCTTTCGGTCTTCAGTGATGAGTTATTTTGAGTTCTTCAGTTCTGATGTGCTCAGCTGAATGCTCAGATAGCAAAAACTCATCCGCTCCTTGAATTTAAAACTCTGGAACATCTCTTGTGGAGCAGTCAGAAATTGATGTTGCAAAAATCCATGGTCAAATATGAAAAAGCTTGGTCTGTGCCTCCATCAAGGAATTTTACAACTATTTTTGCTACAGTATTGCTCTGGGGAAGAAAATGAAGTAGGGACTTCACCTGTGCAGGTTCTGCTCACCTCTGTATGCTGATATTTTCTGAATCTTCCCCTTAGTCTTACATAGGAACCATCAGTATCCTACTGAATGAGCCTATCAGTCTGCTCACGGAAGACAAGCAGGTAGATTTCACACCTTGTTCAAGGGTGGTTATGTAGCCAGCCTGGCCACATTTTAAAGATCTGAGAGCTGCTTGTTCTAATTTGTCTCGAAGCAAAAGCATCGTTGTCTAAATGCAAGCACAATCTGGCACATACTCCAAACATCTTGGCTTAAAATCTACAGGAAGTAAAGACTGCCTTGTTTATTATGTTAGAGTGTTCTGTATTCAGAGCAAGGACTCACTGCATATTTCAAGTGTCTCCTTGTGGAGTTTTGCACTTGGCAATTTCACACATTGGAGTGTTTGTTTCTTCTTGTAAAAAATAAGTAAATCAGGTGTGCTCTTTCTATGGAGTTAAAGACCAACAGGCATTCTGCCTGCTCCACACTTGTAAAAATTTCATTCCTTGAGTGTATATTCCTTGTACATCTGATGTTGGTGAATCAGCCCTCACTTGAGGTGGGCCTGAGAGGCTACAGAACTATTTCATCTGTGCTTTGAAAGCCTTCTGGCACCCCATAATGAGATGTAGGTTTGAGAGAGGCTGTACTTCTTAGAATCGCGAGTGTATGAATTTAGCCACTCTTAGGCAAGTCACAGTGCAGAAGCTGTAGCAAAAATGTAAGTAGAAGGGATTCCTGAGTTAATAACTGAAGAGTTTTTGTGCATGCTTGTATGAGAGTAAGACTTGTCAACCAATCATCTATTTTCACACTTTTGAATTCCAAACGTGAGTCTTAGGCAGATACATACCTAGCTTAATCTGGCTGCGCAGGATCATAAGCACGAGCACATGCAATTTCTATTCAGTCTGGAAGAAGAAAGACAAAAACAACTCCTAAGCCATAGGAAACCTTAGAACTAAGCATATTTTGCAAAACCTTTGAGTTTTCCCAGTTGGATTCTGCCAAGCTCTAGTCAGGAATTCCCCTCTCTTGTTAAGGAGTTGCATAAGAAATGGCTCTTCCTACAACGAAGGACTGGCAGTGAGTTAGAGAGGGAGGAAGTGTGATATTCTCAAGAGATAAAATAGCATCTAGCACAAAGGTAGTGAGGCAAGATCCTGAAAATCATAACTCCTGACACTGCCACCAGTCACCGCTACAAAACTCTTCAGCTAAGAACAGAAATTGTGCCTAGCACATAGTGTACAAAGTTACCTAACAGAAAAGACTGAAAAACCTAGTAATAATGAGCAGTTGCAGAAAAAGTTGCCTAGTTTCATTTGTCATGCTCCAGTGCATGAGAGATTAAATGGCTTCTCAGTTTCTTTAATTCTAGAACATTTGACAGAACTGACAGCATAAATGTCTGTAGCATCATCTGAAAATGAGATTAATAATTATATTGATTTTATGCAGCAAAGTATGAGAATATGAGAACATAAGTCTAGGACTCGTGAAAAATTTGAATGTTTTGTGGCTGTTAGCTTAGAAAAAAAGGAAAATATCTACAAATTTCCAAATCCATAGCTGTCTGTGACAGATAAGACAAAAGCAAACACGCTTAAAATGTAGCAGAGATGATTTATGTTAGGCATTAGGAAGGAATAATTACAGATAAAATATTGTGAAGTACTGGGCTAAAGTTCTTGCAGAATGTTTGGAATATTCACCACTGAAGGTCCTTAAAAACAGCCAATTTAGCTAACGTTAGAGAATGAACAAAGACAGCTTTGGGACAAGGACATGGCCAGATAACATTTGGAGGTCCCTTCAAAAATATAAGTTTCTGCAGTCCCTTAAAGAAATGCAACATTTCCTTTCAACACTTGCAGCTCTTTCTGCAGTGTCCCATATACCTAGGTGCAGAATTCTTGGGGCACTTTTGGATAAGGAATCCATACGTGTTAAGATGACAATTTCGCACTGAGCTGTTGCTGAGCAATATGAAACATTTCTCACTCCCGCCATACTATCTCTATACAGTTCTCCCTAGCCAGACTAGGCAGCTAGCAAGAAAGCTTACAAAATAAATTCACATCCCTGCGTTGACCATGCATGGTGCTCCTACTAAATCACAAGACTGAATCTATCCTAAATAAGACTGGAAAACTTGCCTGTGACCTACAAAGAACCATTCCAAACTTTGCCTGGTGACCAGCTGGCTGGCCATGTGGTTACAGAGAAATACTGTACGTACTACACTTCCAGTTCTGATTCAGTCTTGCTTATCCCTGTAACTACCTTCTCAAAGCACATGGCTGCCTGCTAGGACTAACATTTGAGAGATCTGCTTCTCATTTACTTATTGCAATGTCAACACCGAATAACTTAAGCATATTTTCCACAGATGACTGCACATTTTTTTTAATATGCTGTTTCATGTCTGCATGCCAGTAAGCGTTCCAAGATTTTTCTGCAAGCTGTCACATATTTTTGGGGGACATTACATAATCATTTCATCCATGAGCTGCTAGTTGGACTAGCAACTTATCTGACTACAGAGCAAGCTCTGTTTATCTGTAAGTTTATCTATAAGAAGTCTTACTTCTTTAATTAGCCTCAGCTAAGATGCATGACTTTGAACAACCTCATGACTGAACCAGTGTGTTCACAGAAGTGAACTGTATTGATTGTCTTTATTATACCACTGACAGAAGAAAGACAGACAGATGGACTGCTAAGGTGGTCACCTGTCCCTTCAGAGACAAAGGCTTGGCAGTTACATCTGATTGTGCCCTTGGGTACTTATTTCACACCTTCAAATGGATTTTCCCCCTTTCAAACACTTTCAATTTCATAATTGTCACTCAGAAGATCTGCACACATCTTATATTAGGATTAGTATTAAGGAAATGTTGCCCAAGTGGCTTTTTTGACAAAGTCCTTGCTTTTGCTCACTTTCACAGCACTAGCAGGTTGCTAGTATCGTGTGCCCACATTTAGTCATTTCATCAGTCATACAGATTCAATATTTCTTTCAAAAATTCAGCAAAATTACTTAGATATTCAGAATGAATCATTTGCTTGAATCAGGATCCATATCTCTAAGTGAGGCTGGAGAATCAGTCTTGACAGATTACGGAGTTGTTATAAAGTTCAAGTAGCTTTCATTTAACTCAAGCTTTGGCTGAGCTGTGACGAAAAGATTTCTCTATTGTTATAAATTTTGTTAATATCTGAGCTAAGTTTTGAGCGAAGAGTGGTTAAAATATAGTCTTAAAAGTAAGTTAGAAAGGCAAAGCTCAGCTCAGTGATTCATGTCACAGACAGGCAAAAGTTGGCAACTTCAAGCAGGCTTAACAGGAGTTCCAGACACAAACTTTAAATAGATGAATACTGATGCTTTATAGAAAACAAGCTCATGAGTTACCAGACCTGGGATTCTTTTCAGCTGAGAGAAAAAAAATAGAAAAATGAAGCATGTAGGATCTAAATAGTGTCATAATTTACATTTATGTAAGCACTGCAGCACTAATGGCTCCACCATTCCTCCTTTGGAGATGAAGATTTATGATCAGAATGTTTTCTGCTCCCATTTTAGTCTTGCAAAGTCCTTGGTTCTCTTGTGGGAGAACTTCATGCTCAGAGGCCCTGTTCATACTAAGAAGACAACTTCTTAGCTCCTGTGCTTTGTATATTCAACAGGACCAGGATAATTATGATCTAGTAGATTAAGTATTTTTGTCACTAAAACCATAACTCACCAGAATAGAGTAGCAGAAAGTCAAGGTGCCACTTCTATTGAAAATGTTCTGATGCTTGTAGTTAAGGCAAAATGCTATCTTCCTCTGTCTTTCATTCAGAGGTAGGATAGGGTAGAATTTTATGAATTTCCCTGCAACATGAGAGGGATTAAGAATCACATTTTAGAAAATACTTCTGTTTGCAGTTGCAAAGTCTGGCAAACCTCCTGTGAGTGTCATCTGTTCCTTTTCTCCTCTCTAGCTTTAGCCAGAATTGTTATATGTTTCTGAGCAGTACCAAAGGAGAAGAGTCCCCATCTGCAGTGCGCAGTTTCTACCAACTCACACTGAACACGTGATCTAGAATGAGTAATGAATGGTGTGTTTTGTAGGTAACTGTTTCCCAGAAAACAGACTTTGTGGTAACTGAAACTTGATTTGCAAAAGCAGGGCTCCTGCTGCCACCACCACCTTCTCTTGCCTATGGTCCAAGAGCAGTGTCTCTATTACAAAGGACTCGGTCAAGGCTTCCCTTCACAGGTCTCCATGCACACTGAGTGGACATCAAGCTACTGTCAAACAGCAGACAGAGCCAAGCTCCGGGATGTTTGCTGTTTCACTTTTAAAAAGTAGATAAGCAATGGTACAAAAGATTCAGGAATACATGCTTGAAGGCAAGAAATAAGCCAGATGCTGGAAAAGAGACTCAATCATTTAATTTCTATCCCAATGTTTTAAACACCAGCCTTCACTGCCTATTCTGCACTGAAACCTGGTAATGCCAGGCACTATATTAATGAATTCTAGTGCGCTATTGGGCTTATTTTTAAAGTGGAACATAAAAATGCTTCTTATCTTCAAGATAAGAACTGTCTCAGAAATGCAAGATGAAGTACTGTTTTAAAAGGTGATTCTCAGAAGCAGGCAGTCACACTTAGGTATTTAATACTACCCGGTCCAATCCTCAAACTTTTTCTTGAATCAACCTGGTCTCCTAATCCTCGTGTATTACAACCTTTATCCGTGTTTTTTATTCACCTGTTTCCTTTCCACAATGAATGGAAATATACTGGCTGATCATGAGAGGCTAGATCTGATTCTGTTATCTTGCACCTTTCACAGCAATGCAAAGCAGGTGTGAAACACTACTATATATGAACTAACTTCCTATTCACGTGGCACTGACAAAAATGGCTGGGCTAGATACATGGCAGCGGAGAAGCAAGCCATATAGAAATACACACATATGTATGTATGATATGTATATGTATGTACATACATATATGTATGTATGCTTTTTTATCATAGAACAGCTTGGGTTGAAAGGGATTTAAGAGATCATCTAGCTTCAAGCCCCTGCCACGGGCAGGGTTAGCACCCACGAAATCAGGCACCAGCTCAGACTGCCCAGAACTTCATCCAACCTAGCCTAAAGCACCTCCAGAGATGGCATCCACAGCTTCTCCAAGCAGCCTGTGCCAGCACCTCATCATCCTCTCAGGAAAAAATTTCCTCCTGACATCTAATCTAAGTCTCCCCTTTCAGTTTAAAGCTGCAATATAAATTAGATGGTGAAATTCTCCACTTTATGGGCATGATGCATTTTAGCATGTTTCAAAATAGCCTTGTTGAAAAATAGAACCTCTATTAGCAGAAATTATGCAGAAGTGTAATGTTTTTTTCTCTTCATAATGAAGGCATTTTAACAGAATTTACATTTTAATCAAAACATCCCTTTAAAAGTCTTTCTGCCTTCTCATATGGTTTCTGCCATTCTGGACAATCTGAGAATTTTCTTTGTTGGTATTAAAGACAGAAAAAGCAATGGAAGCACCATCTCCGGGCTAAGTAGGAATCATTCACATGTGTCAAAGCAGATAAAAGAGTTTTGATCACTTCAAACACATTACCACGATATTTTCTTTAATTATAGAACATTTTAGCTGCCATTATGTAACTCAATAGCACATGACATCACTCTTTTACCCCAGCAGATTCTGGTCCTAGAGATTCTGAGAGATTCTGTTGTAAAATGTAAGCAGAAGGAAGATTAAGAAACACTAAATATCACTAGAACAATCCACTGAATCAATCTGGGTTTGGGCTGTTATTACTGATAAAAAGAGATAGCCTTATTTTCCAAGACAGAAAACAGATAAAAGTCCAAAATCTTCACTAGATTTTAC